ATTGATGTTAAATATAGGGATAATTTTATTGATTTTATTGTATAGAAAACCTCGAAGGTGACAAAAGAAACGTTTAGATAGTTTGGTGGACAGTTATATGAGTGCGGTTCACAGCGTTAAAACGCCTTTTACCTCGGGAGAGTGAGAGGTTGTATTTTAATAGAGCATGTTGTTTCAGTAAGGTTCTTTGTATAAACAGTTGCCGCACAGTTAATATTTTCAACTCTGTATATAGGAGCTCTGTAAGATAGTGATACAGCAGCAAAAAAGAGACCTTTAAGATGGCTCTCTGCGGTCTCTCCCATTGTTCATGTTGTAACAATATAATTTGTAAGGTCATGAATTGCATCGGACGTAGATTTACCTGACCTAAAACCATATTGTGAGGGCGATAGTAAGTTATTTTTTTCCAAATACTTTACGAGCCTGTTGTTCATTATGCGTTCAAGTGTTTTGGACAAGGCAGACAGCACGGCTATAGGTCTATAGTTATCGGCACGATCTCTGTCCCCACCCTTATAAATCGGGTGTATAATCGACTTTTTAAAAGCTTTGGGGAATTTTCCGATTGTGAGAGCAAGATTGCAGATATATATCAGGGGTGGGACAACTACATTAATATGCATTTTAAGGAAATAAGAAGATATTCCATCCCAATCCACAGCACAGTCATTACGGAGAGATATTATTAACCTTGCAACCTCGTCGTCATCCGTTGGTAATAATACCATGAACTGCGAGTTGTTGTTAAAGGCTTTTTTGTTGACTCTGTCAGTCCACTCAATATCTTTTCCGCAAGATTTTTACCTATGTTAGCGAAAAAATCGTTAACTATATTAACAGATAGCTCCGGAGAAGATGATAAAGTTAATAAGTGATGGGATGAATTCTCATTCTTTTTCGCTCTGTTTGTGATGTTGTTTATTGCTCCCCAGAGTTGCTTAGGATTATTATTAGCTTTTTTTAATTCATTTTTTTATATTCCAGTTTAATTTTTTTAACAACTTATTACAATAGTTTCTGTACCTGGTAAAAGATATTTTTAAGACTCCGATATCTGGCGACTTTTTTGATTTTTTGTGTAAATTATCTCTGTGACGAATACAGCGTAAAAGGCCTGGAGTTATCCATAGCTTAACGATTTTTTTAAGGTTTGGTACTTTCACGATTTTTGTGTTTTTTTCGACCGCCGACTAATATAAAATTCAATTTCTTGTCAGGGTTACTCTTTAGTCTAAGTTTTAAAACAGTTAACACTTTTTTGTGTAGCCAATTTGGCCATCAATTGTACTATATCACTTTTGATATTTTGCACATATCGTTAAGCTATCGGTGAATAGGCGAGAATGGAATTACAGTGGACCTTCTGAAAGCGGGTCGAATACCGGTACTTGAAGTCCTTCAAAAGCTTTTCAACTCCGTCCTCCAATGGTGGCACTATTCCGGAGGCGTGGAGCAGAAGTGTCGTGGTGTTGTTCTTTAAAAAGGCGACAACGCTCTCTTGAAGAACTGCAGACCGATTCTCCTGAGCGTGCTTTGTCACACCTGTGCCGGTAGTTGTTGGGAGTACTATGCTCGAAGTTGTTGACGAGTACGTTTACCTGGGACAAATAGTCTGACTAGGTAAGTCCAACTTCGACCGAGAGGTCAATCGACGGATTCAACTCGGCTGGGCAGCGTTCGGGAAATTACGATACATCTTCTCGTCAGGTATACCTCAATCTCTGAAAACTGAAGTGTACAACCAGTGCGTGTTGCCAGTGATGACTTACGGATCTGAGACGTGGTCCTTCACTGCTGGCCATATGAGGACGCTCAAGGTCACTCAGCGAGCTATGGAGAGGGCTATGCTTTGAGTTTCTCTGCGTAATAGACTCAGAAATGAGGATATCCGCAGTAAAACCAGAGTGATCGACATAGCCCAACGGATTAGTAAGCTGAAGTGGCAATAGGCCAGCCATATAGCTCGAAGAGCCGATAACCGATGGGGAAGAAAGGTTCTCGAGTGGCAGCCTCGTACCAGTAGGCGTAGTGTAGGGCAACCCCCCACTAGATGGAGTGACGACTTGGTAAGATATGCGGGAAGTCGATGGATGCAGGTGGGTCAGGACCGTGCTTTGTGGCATTACTTGGGGGAGGCCTATGTTCAGCAGTGGACTTGTGAAGGGCTGTAATGATGATGATGATGATGATACGGTGAATAGTAATGCAAAGTTAAAGCAAAACATCTTTCTGGGGATTATTTAGCCCTAGGTAGATGACACGTTTTATTTTTAAGCAGCTGTCTGTTTAAAGTTCACTTTGTTCAACTATTATACCGGGTGTTTGGTGGGTGGTCCGACAAACTGAAATGGGAGATAGATGGGTTCGTTAGAAGCATTTTTTCTTGGTAATTTTTTTTTTCTATCTCTTAACATTTTTTTTAATGAATTTTTAACATTTTTTTGTAATTATCCCAATTTTCTAGTATTTTGGTTCAATAACTTCTACTATATCTAGTTTTCTACCGTTTTTTTATTTTTCCTAAGAAATATGGTTTTTTTTTAATTAAAAGAAAGATTTAAAACCTAAAAGGCATAAGAAAAAATACTTACGACACATTAAAAGTGAACAAACGAGAAAAAAAAATTGTAAGCCCTTAAATTTCCAGCCACTTAAAAAAATAAATAAATATGTTGAGTAATTTCAAATGGCCATCAAAAATTTTCTATTTCATCCTCTTTCTATCGGTATATCACATGTTACATAAAACTTTAATTATCAACAAAATTGTTGATAATCAAATGTGATGGACGGGGTAATTAAAAAATTACAAGTTTCGTAAAAATTGCCAGGGCACCCTAAACTGGTTTTTACCCGTGTTAATATTTTTTTATGGTTTCATTCCTGCGTGTGCGAGCCAGGTAGATGTTGTCTCTTTCTGGTGGTACAAGCGAAGTTACGACGCGCGGATGAGCTACCTGCTTCTGTTGTTATTAAATTTCGTCGTGATTTGACTGTCTCTGAAGTACAAGCACAAAAAAAATTTGTATAAGTATAATAAGTAAGTAGTATACTTTACTCATTTTAAAATGTACGAAATAATTAATAATGGATAAGATAAACAGTAATTTTATAAAAAGAAGAAATAATAAGTATATCCATACAGAATGTTTTTCGTGTGCGAATGCGAATTAAGGCGTCAATTTGTCTATAGGTTTCTCTGTCTACGCCTCAAACTAATAACAGGCCTCTATCACTCTTGCTACCTGCGTGAAATAATTACCTAAAATCGCGACGCGCTCGGGCGAAATAACGCAGTCAGGGCTGGCGCGTTGGTGGCGATCGAATGTTAAAGTTTTTTGCCGCTGTTTACGTAAATAGTTGTTGAAATAGTTTTTGTTTAGTGTTTAGTATATTTAATTGTAGGTAAAAATAGTTGTAAAAGTTTTAATGTATTTTAAAAATGATATAGGTATTATGTATATTACCTATTTGATAAATTATAATAGCAAAACGTCGTTTCTACTATAACTGTTGCTTAGATGGATACTAAATGAAATGAACAACAAAAGGCTTCATATCATTTGAAGTTATGAAAGGTTAAAAAAATTATTTAATTTTTTTGTTAGATAGGTACTCACAGCAAAAAAGAATTAAGTAATAATTTGATCTACAGAAGAAATACCTAAGTACTTCATTACAACAATTTGTTAAATTTTACTTCACTATCCACTTATATACCTATACTTGCCTTTTGTAATTAAAATATTTTGAGTTATAATAACACAAAATACTGAAATTAAAACTTTGTATACTAACAAGATTTTTAACTAAAGAGAATAGATCACATTTCTGTTAGAAATCGTATTTCAGGTTTATTTGTTGTTTACACTATCTACCTATTTCTCCCAAGCGTTACGATTCCCGACGAATGACCTTGCAATTTGCATGCGTTAGGCATCGCAGAACTCACATGTGGGCGAAAGTATGGTTCAATCATAGTCAGAATATTAGTTAGTACTTCACCTAAGTAACATAATTAACATTTCGCAATGTATTTTTTTACTTTCTATTGACATCCCTTAATAACCACGGAAAATCCGCCGTGACAAAAAAGATGCAAAGTAATATGGACACTAGCGCGCAGCGATAAAGTTTTATTTAGCTTGCGTGTGCGATTTATCTGATTAATAATAATAATATAGGCTATTAAACGTCGGTAAGCAGTCGACATCAAAGGAGTGCAACTTCTGTACGTAGTACTATTATTTATTCTGTGCTAATAAGAGTACCGTAGACAGAGAAACCTATAGACAAATTGACGCCTTCTTTCGCATTCGCACACGAAAAAGATAGATTTATGCATACGTCCTGCATAGAAATGAGATAGAGCGGTGTGATTGTTTGTCCCTTTCTTCGTGCCGGTTTTTTTGTTTAGCAAACTCTACAGATTGCTAAACAACTTTGATAGCGTAGCAATTTAAGGAGTTTACAAGTTGGTTTAAGTAAGAAAAAAGTGTTTTGTGAGCTTAAGATTGGTGAATCTTGTTCAGTTCAGTTCTTAGAACAATTAAAAAATTTATTTAAATGTGTTTATAAGTCATAAAGATTATTGTATAACCTAAAAATTCGTTGTCGTCCTTTCTCACTCGAGACCACGCCGATAATTAGTCTATAGATTTCTCTGTCTACGAAGAGTACTAACGTTGTAACTGTTCTACGCTTCCAACATATTTATTTGGTCCACTAAGTCTGTGGTTGTCCATTGCTGTACAGTCAGTAATCTATGCATTGCAGTTTACACCTTATCTGTGGTTTATACAAAGATACTCTGTGGGCTGTCTGTGGTGTGGTCCATTGAGAAAAAAAAATTGTTTTGTTTATTTTATATTTTTAAAATTACTATTAAAAGGTTTGAATTGAATTTGAATAAAATAAAAGGAAACTTTGATTATTATTGTGTTTTTTACTAATCATAAATCTAACTCTTACCAAAATATCAAATAAAATATTTAAACATGAATATTCTTAACGATATATATGAAAAGGTATGATGTTATTCACCTGTGTATGACAGGTCCTAAACCCAGATCTCTAAAATTATTTTTTAATTCATGAACTTTATTTTTAGAAATTGACAGAAAACGAAGGAAAGTTGAGGTTTTGGGAAGATTATTTGAAAAGTTTGAAAGCACTAGATTTCAGCCAATTTTCAGATAAATTAGCAGTTCCAATACTAGTACCCGTTGGCAGTAGAATTTTTTTCAGAGGTTACTTAAAACACACTAATGAAGTAACTGTCGCCTTAGGTGCGGACTACTTTACTAAATGCTCTTTACAGCAGGGAGAAATTTTACGACAACATAGAATTAAAGGTAAATCTACAACATTACAAATTTGATAAATATAAAAAATCATCATCAGTGCTATCCTCGCATAACATTGAATGTAACTGATTTGCAACATGTCATTAATATTTAGAAGATACAGCGTAGGTGATAGCACCATCCTTGTGGAACACCAGCATTAACATGCTTCTATTTTTAGTCATTAGAAAGACGCTGCTGCCTATCTCCTGATTTGTTTCCCTCTGTCACCTCTTATCGACACCCACGGGATGATACGGGATAGTGGATATTCTTACACCTCCTCTATTAGGTGAATGGTTGAACTTTTATGATAGGCTGCAATGATAATGGTGATGATGACAGCATAGGATCGGAATAATTTGCCTGCCACAGTTATTTGGCCCTGATACATTGAAATGACTCTATAATAGTATATATGCTTTTACTAAGCTATTATGTTTTACTGATTACCATCTTCTGGAATTGTTGTAAAGTACTGACTTATAACTAAAATAATGTTTAATTGCTAAAAGTTCCCCACATTAAAAAGCACCTGTTTTACTAACATAGGCAATAGATAATTGCATAGTAGATAGCTTTTCTTCTTATATTCCAATTTATGCAGTATGGAAGGCCAATATATCTGAAGGGACCTTTGCACCTCTTTGGATTATTATGGAATGCTTCACAGCTTGGTAAAGCCAGGCATAGTGGGCTTTTTTGTTTTAAATTCAGGCTGCTATAGACACTTTACTATATGCCAAATCGATTAAGAAAAATGGACAATGACCTTTCAGTCGTTTAACTAGGGGCTACAACCCTTCAATATATAGACAATTTTTATATGTAGTACTTTCTTTATTTATAATGATTTTTTTTATTATTTTTTTATAATGATTGATATAATATATATTTATTAACTATTATTAAAAAGTTGTGTAAAAGATCGCTGTAGAAGAAAAATCATCTATTGTTATAAAGTACTTTATTCATTTAACAACAAAAAGCATTCATTTATAACACATATAAAGATTCGAGTGATAACGACACCAAATAAGTACGTACTTATTCAAAAGATAAAACTTTATTTTCAATATTAAATAAGAACTTTATTTTTATTCGGTGCATGCGGACCGGCCCAAAAAAGTGACACATCTCTGGCTGCCATTGTCATGTTTCTTTTAGAACAAACTGATGTAACGCGCGTTTTGTTCATTTTAAAGGGATGAATTTGCAAAAGCTCAATATGGTGATCATATTGCTTCAAAAATTTTTTTAAAATATGAAACTGTTATTAAATGAATCGCTGTGTTACTTACCATAAATTGAAATATAAAATATAACTCATTTTTCACAATGTACCATAAGATATTACGATGTTTATAGGAACCACAGACAATATTATTAAAGAACCAAAAAAAACATATGGTCTGACCTAGAAGTGTGAATAATATCAATATTTAAATATTCTATATTACATTCTAAATTGAGGTTTTGTAAGTTACGCTTTTTAACACTCGGCTCATATCTGAGGTCATTGTTCGTTTTTCTCAATCGATTTGGCACATACTATAAGCAGTTTCATGTTGTGTGCATGGAGAACTATATAGATCCTCTTTACTGGTATTGAAGCATAGTATCTTAGTCCTCAGTTGGGACAAAGCATCATCAACATTTTTTTCATTATTAATGAAGGGTATGTGTAAGTGTCTATTGCCCTCAGAATAAACTTATTGTCAGGTGGACTGTGTACTCTTATTCCATTTAAAGAAGAAAAAATTTCATATTATTGATAATATTTATTAACCACATTATAGTTGTTGTAGCCCATTGTGGATTCATAGTTACTCATAGTTATAAAGCACTCACATGCATGGTTTTCGATTATAAAAACATCCTTAGTCAAATTAATATTTTAGATGCTGAATCAAAACTGGATACATTTCAAAAGGAAAAAGAATACATAGAAAGCCAAATAAGTTTCAACAGAGACAATGTGTTTGGTAATGTTGGTCAAGAAATAATTGAATTACATACAGAAGAAGAAGACAGAGCATGGAGAGAAAAACATAGGCAAAAGGTTAGAGAGTACTATCAAAAAAAAGAAAAAAAAGAAGAAACTCAAATAAATGAGATTCCTGATGAAGTCTTATGGAATAGACTGGAGGAATTAGAGCTTCAAGAAGAATTATACAATGAATTATCTAAACTTGGTAATAGTGAAGAAATGGAAGTAATGATAGAAAATAATAAATATAACAAAGATGAAAAAGAAAATAATGAAAAGTGTAAAAAAAATAGTTTATACTTTAGTAATTTAGCAGAAGTAAATAAAGATAATGGTTTTGTTCAATTGCATTCAAAACCAACTGAAAAATTAGACCTTTTACAACAAGTTCTTGATAAGCAAAATGAACTTGAAAATAAATTAACAGAGTTAAAAAACAGGGACAGAAATTCCAGTAAAACTGAGAGTGACCTCATGTCAAGGTTAGATGAATTGGAGCAATTAGATGAATTAGAGGATGAAATGGACAGGTATATAACATAATTGTTAAAAAAAATCTATTTTGCTTCATATTAATATTTGATTATTGCTATATACTATTACATTATATACAAATGTATATAAGCTGTGATAGCTCAGGGCTAAGCTCTCTGTGTAAACATTACAATTGTTTGCGATCCTCGCCAGCACCAATGAAATTGTTAATTGCAATTTTAAGTGCTGATTTACCACAGATGTGCAATGCCATGCCAATAAGCGGCGAAGGTGGAACACCATGGGCTTTTAGTAGATGCATGTCCGATGTGATGTAAAACAGGGATGGGCCCTGCGGCCGCGAGGCAAGAGTATGCGTTTTTTAGTCACATTAAACAAAATCAGTGTTAGATTGTCGAAAACAACGTTCGCGGTTTACAAAACCAAGAGTTAGTCTTCTCGGCTGTTCGCAGGCAACTGAAGGACTTATGGATAATTGACCGTTACTTAGTGCATAATGAAAGTAGTATACATAGAGTATATAGCCTGTCTAGAAGTCTTGACATACAAATATGTGGTTCATACGTGGTAGAGCTATGCTGCAGTTACATTAGTAGTATAGTTGTGGCACAAATGGGGTGGCTCGACTGCGGAAGGACCACGATCTCACAGAATACCAGCATAAAATAGTGGCTTAATGCTGCTGTGTTTCGTATGGTGAGTGTAGAGAACTGGAGACCCTTTTTACTGGAAACAAGGCATTCCATCTTAGTCCTCACGGGTGACAATGCATCTGCATTTTGATTTGAAATCGAGGATAGATGTAGATGTCTATGGGCCTCAGCAACCACTTACCATGAGGTGGACTGTGTGGTCGTTGGTCACCCTATCTTATAAAAAAATAGGGGCCGATCCTCATTATCATGCCGTTCGCAGTTCATTCTCGGTCTGGTAAAGTAGTATTATATTCACATTATACAATCTGACTCAGTTCACAGTTCGATCTTGAATTGTCAAATCTAAAGTCAGATGTATTTGGCTAGTGTATAATTAATAACATAAAAATTTCATTGAACTTTTCAATTGAGGAATTTGCTATTATAGCTCTTCTTCATGATGAAGAAGATAATATAATTCGGTGCACCCAAGCCTATTGCAACGAAAAAAAGGAGGGAGTTCACATGTCATAACCAGGTTCAATCTCGCTCAAAAAAAATTTGTTCGGGACTGACCATGATTGGAATGGGATTCGAGCGAAACTTGACTGTTACAGATAGTATGAATGCACACACATATTTCATAATTGATAATATTTTATCAGACCGAGATCGGACCGAGAATGAACTGTCAATGGCATTATAGTGGAGAGCGGCCCTTAAGCCCCTCAAAGCTCAACATAAGGCAGTTGTTTCGATATTACAGACATACATTTCAATTTTTTTGGCTGATTTTTTTTGTTTTTTTTTTTGTTTATGAACAATAATTGTTCTTACAAAACAAATATTTATTAAAAATTGTAGCTGTCTGTGTGTTTTTATTTTTTTATGTTCGTTAAATTTGCGTAGATGTCTGATAACAGTGGTATTTAATGAGCAAGTTTGGTAATTTTAGGTTTTCAAAATAATTTAAGAAAATCAAATAAATCAAAACATATGCCAATGTTAGATAAATTGTATCATATACTGGCCAGATATCTTCATAAAATTCTTAGTATATTAGCATTTTGAGTTTGATTCTTGGCTCTGACACCTCTGAAATTATTGACGGTAGGAACAAATACATTGTGACATTTTAAGATGGCCCGTAAATCTAAAAGCAGAAGCAACATGTAATACTCATACTCCCAATATCTATACTTATAAAAATCAACTGTTTGTGCTCAGCAATGAAACATAATTTTTTTTTTCATATAAAAAGAACACTATTCAAAATAAAAATCTTATCATTCAATTTGAAACTAATTCTTTGTGTGAATAATAGAGCAAGAAGTTTTTTGTTGCAGGTTAGATGATATTCTTCATGAAGAAAATGACGAGGCTGAGGAAGGTGATAAAAGCAATTTAAAAATGAAAAGAGGTGTCTCTTTTGCTGACGAAGATGAAAGTGAAACATTGGAACTGACTTTTAAACATACAGAAATAGAACCATGTAACAAACCATACAACCCAGAAATTGGCATTATGAAACCAAGTGATATATATACTGCATACTCACACCTGTTCACTGAAACAACATCAATTTTAAGAAAAACAAAATACGAGTCTAGTGTAACAGAACCTAACATTGGTCAAGAAAAAAAAGTTAGTCCTACTGTTATTGCACAAAATATAAATACCGAAAGCAGAATAATAGTAGTCAAAGATGTAAAAGAAAAGGAAGTGGATATGGAAAATTCTGTAGATACTGTGAAAACTAGACCCATAAGTATTTTCAAAAAACGAAGACAACAGAAATCTTAAATCAATATTGTATTTTATTTATAATATAATATATATATTATGATAATACTTTAAGCAAATATTTCTTGTAAATATATATATTTTTACTATTATCTTTATTTTTGAATTACAAATATCCTTCTAATTTTAGGGTTCCGTAGTTACACAACAAGGAACCCTTATAATTTCGCCATGTCCGTCCGTCCGCGGCTTTAATCAGATACCCTAGGTGCTGCAAATCTGTTATTTGACATGTGGCCATGGATAGAAAATGGGGAGATCTCCCGCCGAGCAAGGTGTTCTGCCCGGGGAGTGGCCAACGCTCCGTGTGATAGTTCGGAGATGTTCTATATATGCTGTTTATGATTCGGAATGTTGATAGCGTGATTTAGGCTTCGGTGTATTTCGCTTGTGGCGCGACGACAGCGCCGCCACATCACCCCCTGCTCAGACCGGAGGTCGATAGTGCGGTCTAGTTGTCGACGAATGTGCAAGTGCCAGGAGATTGCCTTGTAGTCTGCGGTGAGTCGAGAAGAAGGCAAGTAATCTGCGAGAGTGCCGTGAGGCAGAGGCGAGCAGTAAGGCTCAGAGCCGTGCCGAACACTGTATGGCGCAGAGAGTAGCTTGAAGGAACAGGAAGCATTATTATTCCAGTGCTGCGATGAACCTTGTGAAGCTAGATGGCTTGCAGGATATGAAGACTGCAGACGATATCTGCTCGGGAGCGAATGGGTGGGGTATTCTATGACGATGACGAAGCTTGAAGTTTCCGAAGGTTGTTTGGTTGCGTGTTCAGATCACGTCGGGGTCACCACTGTGGCCATGGATAGAAAATGGGGAGATCTCCCGCCGAGCAAGGTGTTCTGCCCGGGGAGCGGCCAACGCTCCGTGTGATAGTTCGGAGATGTTCTATATATGCTGTTTATGATTCGGAATGTTGATAGCGTGATTTAGGCTTCGGTGTATTTCGCTTGTGGCGTGACGACAGCGCCGCCACAGGCATGATTATGGATCTCAATCACGCCTACAAAACTGAAATAAAATCTTAAAAACATTTTTACTGTGGGTACCACTTCCCCATACAGGTAATTTTTATTTTATTTTATTTATTTATTTTATTTCATTATTCAGATAAGTACACCCATTTTGTTAGTACATTTAAAATTTAAAAACTAGGGGTTAGTAAATTCACAAAATACATAAATTATAACTACACAAAAATTATTAATTTATGTATTAGTAAATGGAGGATGATGTTTTTTTTACCCGTCTACTCCATCGTGTAGAGTATCGTATCCTCCCGCCTGGACCAACTAAACCGTTGTTTTTAGAAATTGAAAAGTATACACCACATATATACAATATGTAACATAATTAACGCACTTTGAGAAAGTAGTTTGTTCAGAATCGTTTACTGAATCGATCCCTATCATTTTTAATATAGGTAATTTTTATCCCAAAAATAATTAAAACTACGTAAATTACAGTCACCCTAAATCTGTACAGTCAAAACAAACTGAAATGGAACGTAACTTAAGGCAATAAGGCTTCCCCCCCGAACGGGTTCCCGCCTTGTCGTGGCGGGGGGGCTTAGTAGCCGTGGCTTGGTCTCCCACGGTGAACAAAGAGGAACCAACGTGGTTGGCCCGAGGTGAAGGGCCGGCCTGAGGTGGCCGCTCCGAGTGGGCTTGGGGAGCCCACTTTGGATGTGTGCTGGTGGACTGCAGCGAGTGGGGACTCGCGCACCCTCTACCGCTGCAGCCGAGGCGGAGGAAGAGGAGTGTTGGTATGGCGATGCGCCACTCGCCCTATCCTTCGCGACTCAAACGGGGCCGCACCGTTGATGCGGTGGTGGTGGGGCTGCGGGGGGAGAGGATTGTCGGTATTGCGAGGCGCCGCTCTCCCTACCCTCCGCAGCCGAATCTTGGTTGGCGGCGGAGCCATAGACCAGATCCGCCGCTGGGGTCGGGAAGGCTAGTACTTCTAAGTGCTCGTTTTTCCTGGCCCCATGGCCTTTGTGCATCGTACGCGGGGGCGTCTGTTGCACAGACGTAGTTGGAGGCCGTGGAGGAAGGCGCGCCATGTGTTCTGGTGCGCTTTACCTGGGAAGGAGAACGGGGAGGAATTTTCCTCTCCCGAGGAGGTGCTGCCATGGGGCGGCAGGCGCTAGTAGGGCCGCGGATGTGTGCGAAAGCGTTCCCGTAGCCCTGCCAATATGCGACAAAGGTGGAACACCATGGGGTTTTAGTCGGTGCGAGTCCGACATAACCCGTCCTTGCCCCCGCGAGGCGGGTATGCGTAGGCATTTCCCCATGCAAAAAAAAAATAACTTTATTTGAAGCACGTTAAAGTCTTTGCGTTCGTGGATTTGTACTGTGACCACAACATTCTTCCGGAATTAGTATAACTAATTTGATAAATAATCAGTGCATAAAAATGTTTAACTAAAAATTCAGTGTATGTACAATGATTATAATATAATATACTAATTGGGGTGTCTGAGGGTGTGCGTTAATTACGTTACATATTGTATATATATATATGAAAACTGTCAGAATTACCAAGTTAACGAGTAATAGTCGACCAACTTATAAAATTTCATTCGTTTCATTACAACTCTATAGAAAATTACATAAAACTAGCACTAGCTAACACGGGAAGGTATGGGGTAGTGGATATTCTCAACCGCCACTACATGGCTTATTAAAATTAGCTGTAATTAAAATTGCCTAATGCCTCTGAAACCAAATACTGTACATAGTGTATTTTTGTAGACTTGATGCTTTTTGTAACTAGTAAATAATTCATCACAAATGGTTTAACCCGACCGCAAAAATTCTTACGCAAACCTGAAGGCATTGTGCATACATTTTGTACTGAATTCCGCATACTGCCAGAAATTAGGTATTCACAGTGCCTGATTTGGAATTCTGGTAGCCAGATTAGGCTAATTATGAATATGCGCCCCCTCGACCATATATAACATTTACAAAATATTTATATTTAGCTTTCCACCTCGCGGTTTCTCCCACATGAAATCAATTTTTCCCGTGAGAGTTAGTTATTTTCTCGTGGTAGAAAGTCTTTCCTCATTATGCAGTCAGTCTTGTCATCGGCTTACGAAATCTGTTCAGCAGACTAAAATGTAAAAGACGGTCAGACCGAATAGGTTCTTTCGTAATGATATTATTAGTGAGTGTACAGATATAGAAACAGAAACTTTTTATTTAATATAGTCTTTTAATATTCAATTATATGTTCATCTATAATCTGGTTATGGTCTGCAGTAACCAATTTTTTTATAGAATAGGAGCAAACGAGCATGCGGTTACCTGATAGTGTCGACCATCGCCCATAAACAACTGCAACGCCAGACGAATTGCAGGTGCTTTGCCGGACTTTTAAAGGAGTAAGCTCATAATGAGGGTCTCTAAGTACCTACCATGAGTTTTGTCCTGATGTGCGTTGGTGGAATTTGGCTGCTGGAATTGATCCGAATAATTCCTCTGATTACTCCCCGTGGTAAATGCGATAGAAAAAAGCGGAGAGCCAGCGCCTAAAAAACTGAATTTACATTATAATGGTTGTGTACACAAATATAATGCTGACCATTTTTTATTGATTAAAACTAGTTTTACGGATTTTATCGCGTTTATTTATGTCATTTTCAATACCCGACGTTTCGGGTGCTTTCCAGCACCTATGGTCACGGAAATAACGGAAATCAAAATATACACCGGAAAGCACCCGAAACGTCGGGTATTAAAAATAACATAAATAAACGCGATAAAATCCGTAAAAGTAGTTTTTATCAATGTGTAAATTTTAAATATTAAAAAACATGAAGTTATTATGTATTGTGATGACATACGTAAATGTATATGTTTAATAGACGGACAAAACTTAAATTCGCGTTTAAAGGACAAATCATAAAAATTAAGAGTGGCAATTATCACATGTAAAATCTCCAATGCCTTCAAAAGCGTAACATTCTTCGTGACACCATCTGCAACAGGCTCCACATCGAACCCAATTTTCAATTGGATGATTACTTTCTTCAATATATATTACACCGCAAAAAAACATACAATATCTTCAAATTTCTTAATTTTCTTTGATTGTTTATTATTTTTAACAGGTTTTTTAATAATCTTTATGGGAACTTTTTTTGATTCTACATTTAGTTTTTTACTTATATTATTAACTGCATTTTTTTCAAATTTTAACTTCTGCTCTTCTTTTATAGGTGTACTAGTTAAAATTTCCGACTTTTGCAATTTGCGTTTACGAGTTGTTATTGGTTTGTCTGGATTTGGTATTGGTCTTAACACTACGGGACTGTAGTGAAAGTTTGAACATCCATGTTCCAGATTCGGTGGATCATCACGGTCCACATATCTGCGTGTATTTTTGAGGTACCTGGTAACAATGCATCACTTTTTAAAGGATGCATAACATTAATATTTGTAGCATCTGGCTCCAAAGTATAAGAAGCTTTAAGAGACACTGTTTCTGGTTCCAGTGTAATAATGGAGCATATTTCACTGTGAATAATATTTTCTGAGGTTTTAGTAGATTATTGGGAAACTACAATTGGTGCAACAGAGTTGAGGTTTAGATAATTCACAAATTGTAGCTTTTCCTGGAGGTAGAACTATTTCTGCATGGTGATCAACTGTCGAATTGCATTCTTGTAAAAGTGAGGGTGAAGGGGTTGAAGAGGCAGCGGAATCAGGGATATCTATTGTTTGTATCGAATCTATGCCTACTGTGCTGATATTCATACTTGATTTGACTGGTTCAAAGTCTTCATCCCCAAAAACATATTTGTTCACTGGCCAAATTCCAGGTCGTTCAAACCCATGAACTGCATTTATGGCGACTGCACTTTTCAGAAAAGCTGGTGATATCAGTCTGGCTACATCGTACTGATTTACAATGCGTCCAGGATGAGCCTTTTGGAACCTATTAATCTCTCGTTCAAAATACGTTTTCAGTGGGCCGTAGACGGCCACATCCATAGGTTGCATTTTATGAGTAGTATGCGGGGCCAAGGATAAAATTATGACGCTATTCTTACTTGCATATTCCAAAGCAGGATAATATTTGTGGCTCTCATGGTTGTCCAAGAGTAGAAGTACCTTTTTGTCGACGCTAGGTCGTACATGTCCTACGAAGAAATGCATCCAATCAAGAAATACCTCACCTGAATCCAACCACTTGGCGTACAAGTACCTGGAGTCCCGGGAGGCGCACCGTCAAGAAGTCTGGGTTGCATCTTCTTTCTGGCGAAAATCAGGAAGGGTGGTAGAAATGATCCAGCGACATTACAACACCCGATGACAGTCGTTAATTGACCTCGCTCCGCACTTGCAATTATGCCCACCTGTTTCTTTCCTTTTATTGATAGTGCTCTAGGGGGTTTGTTTGATGTCGTCGAAATACCGGTTTCGTCCATATTATAAAATCTAGATGCATCAATATTGTGTTTATCAATCAAAGATTCAAGATGTTCGTAGAAACGTCTGACTTCATGTCTATTGAATCCTTTTGCTCTCGCAACCGATATTGCCTCTGCAGTTCTGAGCGTAATGTCAGTGTGACGTGATAAAAATGATTGTAGCCAATCATCTCCGGCTTTTTGGGTAACTCAAATTATTTTTTTTGGCATAGGTATACGCTAAATTCTTAAACTCATCTCGAGTTAAACCAAAAAACACGGAATCCATGTCTTTGAGATAGGTCATTAATTCTATCTCCTCATATTCACTGAACACAGGACGAAATCTGCCGAGTTTTGGAGTAACCTTGCCACTTTTGATGTGTCTGTACAAAGTTGCATAAGCCAACCTATATATTTTAGCTGTGCTGTAAATTTACAGCCATCTGCATGACAGCTTTATCCCAAGAGCCTTGATTAGTTTTTCTTTTGTATTTATGCACCATCTGCAACGAAATATGAGTATAATACTGAAACTAAAAATCGTAACAGCTGGGCAAAGTGGATATTATATCCGCTTTGCCCTATTCACTTTGCCCTATTCTTTGCCCAACCCGACCACTTTTAAGGTTAAGTTAGTTAATATAAAAACTATTGATTTCGATTACCTGTTCGACATATTTTAAAAAGGCACTTTAATACGTAATAGAACTATACTACGCCCAAGAATGATAAACAAATAATATAGGAAATATCATCAAAACACTTACCTCGAAATATTGTAAATTATTTTTCGAAAACACAATTCGCCGTTCTGTGGACGCCACACGACACTACCTCTCGCTTAAGTATTTGCCGCTCACTGAGACAAGATGGCGGAACGATGCTATGGCCGCGTGGTTAATGCGAAACTAATAGTTTAGTAATAGTGGGGACTATTCACTTTGCCCGGACTTCCCCTAAAGGAATTGCACATTTTATTTCTTTTCTACACACACGAGTACATAGCGGCCGACTGACCAGCTTAACCATTACAACTTTTATTTATATGCAATATACAATTTGTATAACAATTTTCAGCGTTAGTAAATTCATTTTATTACCTCGGCAGGTAGGAAACCTTTGATAGCGCACCTGAGTCACCTGTTCTCACTTTCACTTGACTAACCGCAGTATGTTTGTGTACACAACTATTGTACTGAACTATAAACTACCAATTCAAACAGTTTTTAGGCGCTGTCTCTTGAACCAAAAGAGATGCGACCCCTTTCACAATGTCAGTGTATCGAGCCGATCAAAAGAAGTCGGCCGTTGACGATTCGAGCCGCTCTTCACTGGAAGCGGTCAAGTGGATGGAATTGAAAATGCTGTGCCCCTGTCCAGAGATGAGAATAGTTAGTTCATGTGAGGCTAAACTTGCGCCTTGTAAAGTTGCAAGCGGTGTGCCGCCATGTAACACTTCAAAGTGACCGCGGAACTGAACGTCATTCCAAAAATTAACATTTGTTCGTTTTTCTCAATCGATTTGGCACGTAAGTACTATAGGCATATGGGTGTGGCCATATGTGCAGTGGCAACGCTTTGGCACGGTAATTACTAATCTAGTGTAATATATAAATCAATGCGTAGAACAAACATTTTTGCACTGTATGTTAAGGATTTCTTTTTGCATTCTCAACTAAAAACATTACGAATCCTCATTCCCTGCATAGGACAGTTATTATAGTATGCGGATGCGGATCCAAGTGTGACCGCAGATGGAAAGTTTCAGGTATACAAAAGTACTCTGTGATGGAAAGTCATCAAGATGGAAACATCAGCATAAGCATTTAATTAGAAGAATTTTGTGAACAAAATACATGTCAGACTAGGCTGTATGGATATATAACAGAAGAGAACTTTGCTTCGCCATTCAATAAAAAAAAAAAACATTTTATTTTTATGTCACTGGGGTGGGTTTGGTAAAAAAAACAAAAACAACCGATGTGAGGGGGAAGCCGTAACAAATTATATTTTTTTTTTTTGTTTTTTGTGTAAAAAAATTATTTTGTATTTTTTATTAAATTTTTTTTTTTTTTTTTTATTTTTTTTATTTAATAAAAATTTTAATAAAAAAAAAAAAAAAATAAATTTTAATTAAAAAAAAATAAATAAAAAAGGGGGGGGTGGGTTGTGGGAGAGGGAGGAGGATTGGTCTGTACGATATATTACTTTCCTCTATGTGTCACTCAAAGAAAATAAGAGGTTAATAGGGTATTTTGAATTTTTAGGTGTACACTGTACAGTTTGTTAGAATCACAAAATTAGAAAGATATGTTGTTTTTTTGAATAGAACTGTTCAAGTAAAAGTAAAAATAAAGAATAATGTTTACCAGAAATTTTAGAAATATTTGCCGAAGATATTCCCAAAGTGTAACATTTAGAACTGCGGAAACGTCTCCTGTAAGAAAATTTTACTTACCAATTATATATCAATAATTTAATTATAAATAATATAATCAGTTTTATAGTAAACAAAAATTATTTTATTAGTCTAATTTTATGTGCCGTGCATAAAACTGAGAAATGACAATCGGTGGAGTAGACTTGTTATGAAGTGGAGACCGCGTCTAGGTAAACGTGTGGAACGCCCTGGTACGTAGACGTGGTTGCGCGACTTGAAATAGGCCTATGTCTGCCAGGACCAAAACTGCTGCAGGCTGATGTTGATGATGGTCATAGCTAGATGTTTAGTAAAAAAATTCGTCTACGAGCATATCTAGGTCTTAAGGATTATTTGTTCCTTTCCCAGGTACAGCAAAATGACAATCAAATAGGATTGTTTTACACTATAGAAAAAGATGTGTGTAAAAAATTATATGGACATGGAGGATTACCAAAAAGTTATATGAAACAAACCAAGACATTCACAGAAACAACTCTTATGATTCGTCAACCAGCTCTTGATATCATAGATTGCATAAAAGCTAGTGATTTAAATAAACCTGCTATTAGATATGTTCTTTGTATCCTTTTTAACTGTTACGTACATCTTTAATATTTTACTCTTATTTATATAGCCTAAATGTATAAACGCTAGCATAATGTTTTTTTTTTTTTGTAATATTATAGTAGCAAACAAGCTAACAATCTTGAGTGGAATCCTCGTAACTGGTAAGTGAAATAGAAATAGCCCCTATTAGATAGAGACCTTGCTAAACCTGTAAGAAATTGAGCAAGGAGTGAAGAGCAAACCAGGTGGTTCAGGATCATGTTTTATGGTGTTTCTTAAAAGAAACCTATATTTTGCACTGGAGATGTGATGGACTGTAATGATAAATATAATGAGCTCATAATCTACCTAAAGGTAAGTCGGTAATGCAGCCTCTGGGCACCTGTAATTAAATATATAAAATGTTATTATTCCCGAAGTATAAGTGGAATGCCTATCTGTCTGCAATTATACTGGCAGCAAAGACTTATAATACATTCTAATTTACAACTTTTAATTTCTTAACTTGACATGCAGATGGTGAGACAGGAACCGGCAAATCATTAACTTTAGCACATCTTATACATTTTGCCCATGATGCTGGCTTTTTGATTGTCCATGTTCCTTGGGGTATGTATCATTCATCTTGCTTTGAATGTACTGTTTAAAAATAAAGATAACATTTTTATATATTTATATAAACAAATAATATCATTTTTTATTATTTATAGTTAACTATTTTAGATAAAATCTGATGCACACTGGAAGCATTTTGTTGTTTGGTCTTTTGTTGCTTTTCCTGTAAATTCACTTATTTTTCTTATGCATTGTTACCATATATACAGATTTTTCATATTTGTATGGATTTTGGAAGTCCAGCATGGATATTAATATGGATTTCTGATTTACGCTACAAACAGACAGACTAAAGTTCCTACAGACTATTATTTTGCAGATATTTATCACTGCATATTAAAAATAGACTATGTTTATGTTCAAACTTATATGTGCTAAAATATTTAATTGTCAACAATGAAGATATTATTAAAACGTGATAATGTGTTGTCTTAACATGTTCCATGCCAAAATGTTGTTCTATGTTTCAAATTTTTGTTGAACTTGTTTTTGGTTAGTGATGTAGCATGAGTTGCTGCCATGAGAAGCTGCTAGAGCCTTTCTTTAATTCAATATAAATCTAGAACTTTGTATATGAAGGTCACATAACATATACAAATACTAAATTTTATAGATAATGACTTATGACTTTAAGATGTGTATAATTTGTTTCAAAAATTGTTATCTACAGTGTCTGAATGGCTGCGGAGAGTGCCTCGTCACAAAGAGATGTCAAACTCACAGACCCGTGAGGGCTTTGTTGATCTGCCCCTAGATGCTGCAGCATGGCTGTTACACTTTAAGACCCAAAATCAGACACTCCTTAAGAGTGGAGATGTAAGTCTGCCACATTAATAAATTTACATATTGTGTATGTGATAAAAAATATTAAGTTTACACTTTATAGTTTTTTTAACCATTATGATGTGTTATAATGTTTCAGTTGAAAATTTCAAAAGACTATGTATGGAGCAAACGCGAGCAGACGTTGGCTGGTGCACCACTTAGCGAACTGGTGGAGCAAGGCATTTCGCGTGTTAAATACGCCTGTGACGTCATTGACGCTCTTGTCTACGAAATCAAACTGCTATCCAACAACAAACAGTGAGTTATGTTTATTAACCCGGTAAAAATTATTATTATAATTAGAAGATTTTTTTGTTTTTGGATGAAATATCCAGTTTAATATCTTTACAAGACGACTTTGAAAAGAAAATGCTCTATTTCCTTAAAATAATAACATCACTTTTGGCGCTCACGTTTTGTAGACTCTTGCTTCCTCTGCTGCACTGCTAAGGATTTTTAGCATACATACTCTTAACTCTTAACAATTTCTTAGAAACGTAGATTTTCTTAGGAGATTTCTTTACATTTTTCGTCGAACTACATGTAATGTCGTACGGAAATGTTGATAACAAAAGAGTGAAGTCCC